AAGCTCCAGGATCTCAGACAGGAGACAAAAAGCTACTGCAAATTTCTAATCTCTGAGAAATCTCTTTTTTTCCTAATGTGTGAGAAAACAACAATAAAATTAATAGATCTACAATAATATATACACTATGAAGTTATTTGCTTCTTGCAGTGGTATGGCTGTCTGTCTCACACTCTTGATCCTTACTGTGACTCTGCCAACATGTAAGTACTGTTAACCATAGCCTTCTTAACAATAACATACTGATTCATTACAACTTTTTCTAATTTCATGTGAACTAATTTAAACAAAATTTACACATTTGATCAATATAATGCATCAATGCTGAAAAAAGAATTAAACCTTACAGACCCCAAACTTTTGAATGGTAGTGTAAATAATGCAACAGATTCTAACACGCTAGCAGTTTGTTCCTATCAGTAGATTTGCTTTATTACTCAAACTGATTCAAAACCACATTTAGCACTTGAGTTTACCAGAAATATCTTCTCTGTAGCTCATCTGAACAGCATTAAAAACTTGCTGCAGTTCAAGGACATGATTAAGTGCACAGTACCGGACAGTTCACCACTGCTGGACTTTGCAGACTATGGCTGCTTTTGCGGTTTAGGTGGTACAGGGACGCCTGTTGACCAGCTCGACCAGTTAGTGTATTATATTATATTCAGTGAGAATGTGTTAGTGTTTATTACACAGTATTTATTCTGAGTAATTGTGTATTATTAATGCTCTTTCTCTAATGACCTGGTAGGTGTTGTTTTACCCATGATGCGTGCTATGGCACAGCAAAGACCCTTCAGTCCTGCTCATCAGTGCTTGACAATCCCTACACAAACACATATGACTACAAGTGTGATGAGAATACCAAAACGGTCACGTGTCTGGGTGAGTGAAAATGCGGGGATGCCAACATGAAGAAAAATATATATATATCAGTGACATCACATGTAACATTTACACACATTAAAAAAAAAACAGACAAACTTACAAAAAAAAAGTCTATTTTTTTCTCTGCTATCAGAACTTTTTTCAAGACAAGCCACAGCTGAATTAGCCTAACTGTTGCGCGTCTGCTAACAAGTGGCATTTCTTTTCCGAATGAATCTATGTTGCTGAACGAATCGGTTGAACAAATCAATGATTCACTCAAAATTCCTGACTGAACCAGTGTTGTTGAACGAATTGGTTGAGTGAATGAATCAATGATTCACTCAAAATTCCTGACTGAACCAGTGTTGTTGAACGAATCGGTTGGTTCAATGGCTGCAGAATAACTGCCGAAAAACTTAATGAAATTCCCCACAACTAATACAAAACTGACAGTTTGTTTGAAACAAACAGACATACAACCAATGGAACACAATTAACTGTTGTATAAGTTAACTTCATATAATATAATTCTGAGCATTTTGAGCGTCAAAATATAATTCTGAGCATTTTTAAAGAGTACAGAAAAATATACTGCAAACTATAAATCTTTCAGACAAATCATTGCAGGTTATTTGAAATTAAATAAAAATGTATTAAAATTCAATCTTATAATATTATGCGTTATATATTATAACATGTGTAACAAGGATACCATAAAATAAAGTGAAATAGTGTACTTTCTGAATACTGACAAGCATTTATGGTAAAGTATGCTTGAAGAGTTCATTTGCAAAAACAGATAACTTTTTTCATTGTGCATTCCAATAAATCTCAATCAAACTGCAGTTGGGTTATTTTAATTAGGTTAAAAAAAGAAAAAGGAAAAAATACAGCTAACTACCACAATAAACAACATTTTATCGAATTCTGTTTTTGCAAATAAACTATTCATTTGTAATTAGACATTGGTAATGATGAAGTTGCAGTTTAGTAAAATGTTAACTTTAATATTAAATAAAACACTACAGACAAATTATAATCAAGTACTTTACATGTGCTTTAGTGTGTTATTCAACACATAAGTGTACTTTAAATCACAACAAAAGAGCTTTAAAACACATCACATTTTAAGTGTACATAAGTGTGTGTAACGATTCAGTCCACTGAAGGCGAGCGTAGTGAAGAACCCAAGTGCAGTTTATTTACAGTGATCTAAACAATAAACGAAGACAGAGACACAGACTTGACAAGGCATGAACAGACTTGACGAGGCACAAACAGACTAGACTCACCGACAGTGGGTTACAACATCAATACACGACCAGAGACAATGGCAGCATGATGGCTACTTATAGCAAACAAGAGGGTCACATGACAAGAACAAACCAATGGGAAACAAGACACATGACTAAGACAACCAATCAGAACATGATACATACACAAGGCAGAGATACATGAGGGCAAGGGAAGCATGACACTGACAGGGTGAAACAATTACAAAATAAAAGACATGGAAAACATGAACATGAAACAAAACCCAAACACCAAACCCCACATTACTTTAAAGTGTCATGTCTTTAAAGTGTACTCTCTTTGAGTACATTTAAGTGGCCTTGTGTTATATTATAGTCTTTTATTATTTGCAAGTAATAGCTGAAGTGTGTATTTAATAAAATTAAACATACTCCTTTATACAACCTCTCTTTTTCTCTTTCAGACAGTAATGATGAGTGTGAAATGTTCATATGCAAGTGCGACAAGGCTGCAGCGGAGTGTTTTGCTCAATCCCCTTATAATGCCTCCAATAATCATCTGCCCTCGAGTGTTTGCAGCTCAGCTTCCAGAGAGACCAGCAGCTTTCTTACTGCTCTCACTGCATTCACAGTCACTCTCACACTCATATACCACAACAAAATACCCTGCAATAAGTGAAATGTGCATGCACTGAACATATCCGTGTTATTTGTTGTCATTTTGGTCATTTAAACCCTTTTGTGTGCCGACAGCTGTTTTGCATGTACTCAAGCATTTTGTAAATGTTTCCAAGCCTTATGAAATTCTCATGCTTTTTCGAGAAAACTGAATTCTTCTTGTACCAGCTGTGCAAATTGCAAACACATGCTGACGTTCCCAAAGATAAACACACACACACACACACACACGTTTACTTAGCTATCTAAATAGGGACATTCCATAGGCATAATTGTTTTATACTGTACAAACTGTATATTATATTGTCCTACACCAACCCTTACAGAAAGTTTTCCCTATACTTAACCATATTTTGGGGACAAATTTGTACCCAAAAGTGAGCTAAACCTGACAAAATCACCAAAAACCTCCCTTTGCGGATGTCCTCATTTGTATAACTAGTATAAACAAATGAGGACATCCGCAAAGGGAGGTTTTTGGTGATTTTGTCAGGTTTAGCTCACTTTTGGGTACAAATTTGTCCCCAAAATATGGTTAAGTATAGGTACACATAGACAATACATAAACACACTCAACTTGGACAAAACTAACAATCTCAGCAACTTTCCTTTTGGGCGCTTGTGTGTGTGCATGCATATTTATTAACATATCTTATATTCACAAAAATATTCTTATATTCATATATTTCTAATTCACAAAGTTAGCTTATCAATGTGCACTTCCCATCAAGGTTATATAAATAAGTTTTAGACCTATAAATAAATGGCTACTAACACTTGTTCATGTAGTCTTCACCATGAACACCTTCCTGTCTCTTATCCTGAGTGTGAGTCTGCCCACCTGTGAGTACACTTAATATACGTTCCACTATTCAGTTCCTTGTTTTATTTTATTTATGATATTTTATTATTTATGCAAACCAAAAATTTTACTTATAGAGATATTAAATATAATTTGTTAAACAGCATTTTTTTTATTTAGTCAGTTCAATAATTGAACTAATAACTACCTTCTGGTTTTGTTGTTCATTTATTAGATCAAATATTTTATGAGAATGCTGTAACAGAACTTAAAGGGATACTCCACCCAAACAAAATTTGTCATCATTTACCCCTTGATGTTGTTCCAAAAAAAAAAAGCATTGTGTCTTCTGTGCAACACAGAAGAAGGTATTTTGAGCATCCATACAATTTAATGCAGTGGGCTTCTTTTTTGTGTTTTGTAGAAGTAAGAAAGTCATACAGTTTTCATACAACATGAGGGTACGAAAATTACAGAATTTTCATTTTTGAGTAGTATTTCTATTAAACAAGAACATAAAGTCAGAAAGCTGTGCATGCTAAAAAGATTGTAGAGTGAAATGAGCTTTGGGAAGTGCGGAGAGTGTTGCCACACATTTAGTTTCAATGTCTGCAACTTATGTTGTTGTTTAATATTCATATTAAATTTAACTTATTTTGAAAACTACATCTTGTCCCTAAACTGTTTAAAAAAGAAAGAAAGTGCAGTGACTACCATGGTGGAAACATGGATGCCCATTTAAATTTTATATGTACATTTTGTACTCTGATAATCAAATTTTAATTCTGCAAATAATTAGTTTAAAATACTTAAAGTAATTGGTCATAAAAACTAGCTGTGTTACAACAGACCTCCCTAGTCTCTACAAGGTCCATGGAATACTGGATGAAGCACAAACCAGTCATATAATTGCTATACATCTCTCACAATTGCTATACATCTCGCATAAGTATTTTGTAAGGCAGATGGTGAATTACACAAGATGTGTGTGTGTGTGTGTGTGTGTGTGTGTGTGTGCATGTTTATGTGGTTTATGAGGACACAAAATTGTATAATAACATGGGTATGACATAGGTATTACAACGAGAAGGTGATTTATGAGGACATTTTCAGTGTCCCCGTAATTCAAAAGGCTTATTAATAATTCAGAATGAGTTTTTTTGAAAATCTAAAAATGCACAAAGTTTCCTGTGAGGGGTAGGTTTAGGGGTAGGGTTGGTGTAGGACAATAGAAAATACGGTTTGTACAATGGTAAAAACCATTACACCAATGGAGAGTCCCCATAAACCATAAAAACAAACCTGTGTGTGTGTGTGTGTGTGTGTGTGTGTGTGCATGCGTGTGTGTGTGTGTGTGTGCATGCAAAAAATATATAAATATGTGATAAAAAATGGTTCTCATGTACTGTATTCCTAAAATTTAAAGCCTGAAATTTAAAAGCATTTTTGTCTTTTTTTAGACAGTTTGGTAAGTATAGAACAGCTGATAATTAAGAATACAGTCTGTTGTTTACATAACATTTTAATTCTATTGCATAATTAGATTGCTAATCAGTATAAGCACTGATAAACTATCACTGTGCAACAGTGGTGGCGCCTCTAGACTACCGTGCGGTGTGGCAGTTCAGGGATATGATCATCTGTACCAACCCTGATAGCTGGCCTATACTGGATTACGTAGACTATGGATGCTACTGTGGACTAGGAGGCTCAGGCACCCCGGTGGATGAACTGGACAGGTCAGATTTAAACATCAGGTTATATGCAGGGACACTGAATTAAACGGCTGAATCAGTTTTGTCAGTCACACTTCTGCCTTCTCAGGCTGAGACGTTTAGTGCATAGTTTATAAATGTTCAAATGTTGCACAAATGCATTTATTTTTGTAGGCATTTCTCCATCAAGAAAGTGGCTACAGTTTTTGTTTCTTTTCCACAGCAGCCAAGCAACACAAATATCTTAAAACAGAATAATTATTGATAAAAATGAAGGCAACAAACTTTGAAATCATGTCCACTGTATTCTCTGTAGGTGCTGTGAGGTGCATGATCAGTGTTATTCTGACTCATGGCAACATGAAGACTGTTGGGGTATCTTAGACAACCCCTACACTGAAGTCTACTCATTCTCATGTGACAAAGCGGCAAAGAAAGTCACCTGCAATGGTAAGATGCTACACTCAGTAGGACTTGATTGTAAGTAAGTAAGACTAAGATTGTACTAAAGAAGTCTATCTGCAAGCTCTGTTAGTAATTGAGACCTGAACTGCATCTGGCTTGTGGCACATATTTGTTAGTTCAGCTGACAAGAATCGCCCCTGTGAGATGTTCATCTGTGAATGTGACAGGAAAGCAGCCGAATGCTTTGCAAAAGCGGATTACAACCCAGAAAACGAGCAATATCCTAGTGAAAACTGCAAATGAACTGAAACTCAGTAAAGGTTTAGGATTGTCCCTAAAGTCTCATTAAAGATAGCAATGGTATATCATGTAACAGTTATTTTTTTTGTTTATGCCAATTGATATTTAATTCATTTAGTCATATATATTTAGTCATTTTGCAGACGCTTTTATCCAAAGCGAATTCATAGCAGACACATTCTTTAATGTTATATGCAAATTCATGCAATTAAAATTTAATTTTTTTTATATTTCAGTCTTTTTTTTCCAGTAAAGATGTAAAGTTAGATATGTAGTATTATATATTAAGACTTCAGAGGATACAGTTCCTTGTGAAAATATTCCCCTTCATTTTTACACATTTTGTTATGTTAGGGTTAGGGTTAGGGTTAGGGTTAGGGTTAGAGTAAATGAAGTTGCCTATAAGGTGATTAGTCTGATTAACATGACACACACACACACACACACACACACACACACACACACACAGAGACATATGAATACTCAAATTGAAGAATTTGGTTGTTTCAGGTTTCTAGATTCTAAGTTTATGTTTATCATTGTCATATACATTTTGCATTCTGCTCTGTTTATGTAGATTTCAAGTATTTTAGTTCATACAATAATACATTTATTTCAATCCTCTGTCAAAATTTTTTTGAGAAACCATCACATAATTTGTAATGTTTTACTGGTTATAATGAAAATTGTTTTGGGTTTACTGGAAACTGTCATGGTGCCTGTTGGTCTCTATGGTAATTGGTAACCTTCGATTCATGGCTTTTGTTAAAGCCACTAAATAAATCCTAATGTAATATGTGCCTAAACACACTACAGGAAACTAGGACTGTCAAAAAAAAAAATTTGAAATTCGAATATTCGTCTAATTATAATAAAAATCCACATTCGAATGCAAAAACGTTGCATTCGAATTTTAGGTGTGCGTTAAGGAGGCAGCCTTATCAGTGGTGCACGAGATGTGATGATGATGTAAGCAGAGGCGGACAAAGTACTCATCTCCATTACTTGAGTGAAAGTATTACTCCATTACAAGTAAAAGTTGTAAAGACAGATTTTTACTTAAGTAAAAGTACAGAAGTACTTGCTTTTAAAAGTACTTAAGTACCAAAAGTAAATTTCCTTTTTTATGTCAACGCACTGTTTTATTGTTGTACGTAATACTTGCAATACTTCTGAAGCAACTTAGAATACATTACACCTGGTGAATACACTGACTAGCTTGTAGTATATTTGGAATAAAGAGCATTTAGAATGTTAAAAACCTATGGGGGAAAAAACTAAACAAAAAAATTAACACCCCTCCCCTCCCCCACAAAAGCAGGATGGTAGTGATCTCACACAGCTCTGACAGTGTGTGTGCACACATCTATGTGTAACCATTTGTCCACATTTGAACAGAGGGGACAGTGAAATCCTGTAAATACAGAGTGATAAGGAAGAAAAAAAAATCAAACCTGCTTTAAAACCCAGCAACACAACTGTAGCTGTATAACTTTACAACAGCAACACTGCTTTAACAAAAAAGCAAAACAGCAAAACTTATTTGACATCAAAACAAAAATTGTAAAAATGCTGTCTAATCGTTCTCGTGGTACTTTGATGTCACACACAGAACAGTCTATGCAGTGCTGCTTCAAGTCCAACACATATTGTGTTTTATTAGGAGACGCACAACAGTTCTTCTGTTGCTTTATAGGTAATATTTTCACGTACACAATTTAGCAAAATCAGACAATATTGTGTCTAATATATACCACAATATTAACTTCTTATTATTGAATTGTTGTAAAGAAATATCACATTTGCAACTCAGTGTTCAAAAACTGCTGGGAAATCACTTCATGTAGCCCTACAAGAGTGATTACTGATAAACTGTCTGAAAAAGAAAGAAAGTCACGTTATAGAGAATAAAAAAATCACCCACTGACTTTCAAAGCTGCTGCATAGTAACGACTTTCTACTTCGAGGACCTTGATAGAAATGTAGTGGAGTGAAAAATACAATATTTGTCTTTCAAATGTAGTGAAGTTAAAGTCATAAGTTCCCAGAAAAAATAATACTCAAGTAAAGTACAGATACACAAAAAGTGTACTTAAGTACAATACTCAAGTAAATGTACTTAGTTACTGTCCACCTCTGGATGTAAGTGTCGTTGCATTATAATGTTTTTGTTAGCCTATCCAGTTGAAGCCACTAGATGCAGCGCTGCTGCATTGTTCATTAAAAATATAGCAGAAAAAGATAACATCAATGCGACAAATAAATGACCTTTTCCACGACATTCTAATTTATTGAGATGCACCTGTATATATGATAAATAAGATTTTTATGCTATCAACATTTTTTTATGCACTGAAATTTCATAATTCTTGTTACCAATTTCAATATTCAATAAAGTAAATGTACAAATAGACTGAATCGTCTTCACTGTATAAATTCAATATACATTAATTCTTACTTATTTTACAAAAGTGATTCAGTCAAGGACAGTGAGTGATTTTCTTTCTGATGTTTGATTTACATTATTGACACAAGTGGCAACAGCAGATATTAGGCTGCTTTAGAGGAATAGTTCACCCAAAAATGAAAATTATGTTGTTGTTCTAAACCTGTATGAGTTTCCTTCTGCTGTTGAACGCAAAAGAATATATTTGGAACAATACTGGTAACCAAAAAAAAAAAACACTATTGGAGTCAATGGGGACCAGACACTTTCTGGTTATGAACATTCTTCAAAATATCTTCTGTTTTGTTGAGGAGAACAAAGAAATTCATACAGGTTTAGAACAACTTGAGGGTGAGTAAATGATGACAATATTTTCATTTTTGGGTGAAGATCATATAATGCCAGGATCTCATATAGCCTAGGCTACTACTACACATGCTTTATCTTTAACATGACGCGCAAAACTATTGACATTTTTCTACTGGGTTATTTCCCAACCCTTAAGCGAATATGTAGAGTTTGTTCAGACACGAAAATCCAAATACATCGATCAAGTTAATAATCAAACTAACCTAAAATCTGTGTGGATGATGGCGCTGTTTTTATCTGCTCCATGTGCCCGGTCCACTAGCTGTTCCACAACTTCTACTCCATCATCATCTTTAGTAAAATAACCTGATAGCTGGGGGTTTTACTGATTATGTTTATCTGCTGTTTGTCTTTTACGTTTTGAGCCCCTCTCTAACATTTTTTTTTAGAATAGCTGACATTTTTACTTATCGAAGATTGTTCTTTGCGTGACCATTTCCAGATTATGCCAGAACGAAGTGAAGAGTGGAGGTGAATGCAGACATCAGGCACAGCGATCACCTGATAGATACCCGTACAGTTCGTTCAAAAGTCAAATACAGAATAAATGCATTTGATTGGTAAACCAAATTCAAACGTGACGTTTCAATATCTAATGGTAATACATGGAATTTACGGCAAAGCTCCGCTAAATAATAGCGCTAATAAGTGGGGGCCTGGTGGGGCTTCGGCGATTGGTGCTTCAGTCAATCTACTTCATAGCCAATCACGGGCCCCCTCGTTGCTCGGGCCCTGGGGCTTCAGCCCCACCTAGCCCTATTAATCCGGCCCTGACTGTATCCAGTGTAGACAAGATAGCGGCAGTGATTGTCAACAAATGTTTCTTTGTGAACTCTCCATGACACTGTGCCTCGATTACAAAACAAAATACTCCAATCAATCCTCTGACATGATCCGGGTTGCCATTCAAAATAAACTATCCACTTACGCTGCGATCCTTCTGATATCTGTACAAAGACGCTAATGAGCTGTTTAAACCAAACGTCAAAGTGAACGTTCTTTCACTCCATTTGTCCTATTGACAGACTCAAGCATGTGGACTGTGTCAGAAAGTGAATGCGCATCTGTATACTGTATCCAGTGTAGACAAGATAGCGGCAGTGATTGTAATTTCTGTTTGCTTTTGAGGCGATGCGACACTGCATTCAGCGTGATTAGGGCTGCATCCGAAAACTTAGGCAGCTGACTTGCTGCCATATGAGGCAATGACTTTGCAGGCAGCTTTTTTGCACAAAGGCACTTCATGAAACTGATTTCGGACAGGCTTCTGAGGCAGCGTAACGGTTTAATGATCTACAACAAAATAGAACGAGTTTTTGTGATAACTAACAAATATTTAGTTACTATAATACTGATTTCTCGCTAGAAATAACATCACAACTACAAAAAGTTAGTCAGAAATATACACAAACGGGCCACCAAACGCAACTTTCAGACGCCATCTTTATTTTTTAGCTCAACCGTCAGGGAATGGAACGCACAGGATTGTGGGATATCAAAGGCAGCGAAGGATACATCTATGCTCAGAAGAAAATAACATCACAACTACAAAAAGTTAGTCAGAAATATACACAAACGGGCCACCAAACGCAACTTTCAGACGCCATCTTTATTTTTTAGCTCAACCGTCAGGGAATGGAACGCACAGGATTGTGGGATATCAAAGGCAGCGAAGGATACATCTATGCTCAGAAGAAGGTACCTCCGGAGACAGGAAGTAAAGCAGAATTTGGATTCAGACATGCCTTGATGCCTTCCTGCCTTAGATTGCTGCCTCCGAAGGCAGCATTTTAGAGTTTTCGGATGCAGCACAAGTGTCAAGCCGTCAAAGGAACGCCAGTGGACGGGGCCTATGGTGAGAAGAAGACTATTCGTCTATGTCTTGTTCTGGAGGCGGTGTTTTATGCAAAGGTCTGCACCCAGGTGAAGTCACCTTGTCCCATTGGATCCAAAACGAGCTGTTTTTGGAGCTTGATTAAATAAATGCTTTGTATATAATGAGGAGGACGTTTTAAGCTATGAAACTTGCAGGATGTTTTAACAGTACAAAGACCTCATTATGCCAAAAGATTGATTTGTCATGCCATGACCCCTTTAAGAAGACTCTCTTTACTTAAAGTTCATCCGTCTCACCAAAAGAGGTCAGCATTACTTCAAATCTAACCCTGGATTTCGATTAATTACATAACTAATTATGATTGCATAATAATTATGATTATTAATTGGTCTCTTCAATTAAATTGGGCCAAAAATGAATTGAACCGATTATTAATTTTAGTGAACATTTTACTTAACTGGATGTGTTCAAATAACAGGACTGTACACTGGAACACTATAAAAAGTGACTTAGGAATAGCAAAAGTACATTAAATGTGCATCAGTCAGGCAAGTACAGTTTACAAACGAAAAGAGGACATCTACAAACATCTAACAATTTCAGAAGGAGCATGTCCTGGGCAGGGTTTTAGGAGAGTCTAATGCAGTTGACGTGATGGCGAAGTTTCCTACCGCATGCCTTTATAGTTTGCGTT